GTTAAGTTTTTAGTTAAGAGACTGGAGCTCAATATAGCACCACAAAGAGGACCTCTGGCCTGCCGGCTTCATGCGGTTTAAATTTTCTCACGTACTTCCTGGTGGAGAGGAAGAATTCATCCATATCGTTTCCTCATCTGTGAAGATAGTCCCTTCTTCTGTGGCTTAAGTGAGTTTTACGACAGCAGCAGTTCTCAAACTTTGTTCCCTCAGAACCCCTTCACACTCTTAAAAATCATTGAGAACCCAGTGAGTTTGGTTTATGCAGGTCATGTCTACCAATATTTATGATATTAGAAGTCAAAATTGAGAAAATCTAATTCATTTAAAATTCCTATCAGATTCATTGCACGTTAACATTAATGACATATTTTTATGAAAATGACTGTATTTTCCAAAACAAAAAAATTAGTGGCAAGAGTACCATTGTTTTTCATTTTTGCAACTCACTTTAATGTCTGCTGAGTAGAAGATGGATGGATTTTCATGCCTGCTTCTGTGTTCAGTCTGTTGCTGTACGGTTTTTTTTTTTTTTGGTTAAAGTAGATATAGAAAATCTTTCACAGATATATAATTTGGAAAAGGAAAGAGTATTTTAACTGCCCTTTCAAATAATTGTGGATATTCTTTTTAGATACTATACCAAAACTTGACACGTGGTAGTTTCTGTGGTAGTTCCTTAAAGGCTAGTTGCAATGTGGAATCTGAAACCATATCAACAAACATTATGATCTGTTGGTCTGTGTTGAACTTTGAATGAAACTTTTACCCATGTGTAAACATCATACATTGATCATTTGGAAAATATTGTTCACTGAATTATACAGAAGTTCCAAATATTGGCACGTTTCATTATACAGTATAACAAAATCACAATCATTAATATCAGTACTGATCTCATTAGAAAATTCAAATATTAGGAAGTCGTCAAGCTAATGATAGTAGATACAAGTCTTCCAAAATTTTAATTTTTGCTTGAAAACTCAACTATATCACTAGTAAAAGATACTGTCAGTAGTTTTCCTTGATAGGATAAACACACTTCACTGCTTTTTGAGAAACTGTCTGCCAGATATCCAAGTCTGAGAAACAATAGTTTGTCCGCTAGTCATTCTTCCAAGTAAAAATGGTGCTTCATGAATCAAGTGGCTGGTTCGTCTTGCAACTCAGACAACTGCACATGTGTTTTTCCTTGAGACAAATGTCAAAGTCCAGTGTGCAAAAGGAGTGCTTTTCATGGACTTCCTGTTTGATCGTGTAGAATATTATAAAGATGTGGATAAAATTGAGATGTAATAAAATTAATACTTTCCACTGCTGCAAATTTTAGGTCATTTTTCAATGAAGCTGGCTTTTTAAAATATTTATTTATTTATATTTATTTTTGGCTGCATTGGGTCGTCGTTGCTGTGTGCGGGCTTTCTCTAGCTGCGGCGACCGCTACTCTTTGTTGTGGTGCGCGGGGTTCTAATTGTGGTGGCTTCTCTTGTTGTGGAGCATGGGCTCTAGGCGTGCGGGCTTCAGTAGTTGTGGCACGTGGGCTCAGTGGTTGTGGCTCACAGGCTCTAGAGTGCAGGCTCAGTAGTTGTGGCACACGGGCTTAGTTGCTCCGCAGCATGTGGGATCTTCCCGGACCAGGGCTCGAACCCGTGTCCCTTGCATTGGCAGGTGGATTCTTAGCCACTGTGCCACCAGGGAAGTCCCGAAGCTGGCTTTTTAAATTAAAAAAATTTTATTTTCACTGTCAGTGTATGGCTGTGAAGAATACTATGACTACTAGTACAGCTTGGTGCCATGTCTTGATTTGTAATAAAGTGAACTTTATTACAGAACTTCTATCCATCCTTGCTTTTGCATCATTAAGTCAACACAGTGAAGAAAGCACATGGCATCTGAGTATTATTATGAAAATTGTTTTGACCTCATGTACCTCTTGAAAAGTTCTTAAGAATCTCCAAGGATCCATGGGCCACAGTTTGAGAATGGTTGCACTATAGTGTGAGGGAATCTCGTCAGGCTGCAAGTTTATGATCTGATGTCATTTAGCTTGACTTAGTGTTCAGCCTGCTACCCAAAGTGTCAAAAGTTGATCCACATCAAAATCATCTGCAACAGAATCTCTGTGGTTGGGACTGAGGAAACTGAATTGTTCTCAAGGGCCTCAAACACAGTGATGTTTGGGAGCATTAATTTGCTTTTATAAAGCCACTTTTTCCAAAACCATGGCGTGGTCCCAATTGTCAAATACAAAATGATTTTAGGCAACTATTTCTTAATTTTAATAGTTATATTAAAGTCTATTACCTTATTTTAGCAAAATGTAAGATGCCATCAATTGTAAGATAAACTATTTTGTGTCCCACTAATAAAGGAAAACACCCTGCTAATTACAATACTCCTTTCATTGATTATAAGATGCATCCCAAGTTTAGAGATAATACTTTGTGAAAATGTGAAGAAAGTTAGAATAAAATAGAATAATATATTAATATATAAAATATATTAATATTTTATATAACATATAATTATATTATATAATAATATATAATAATAAGCTAACCACTTAGAGACAGTGAAATATCTGTTTATAGTAGTGATATAAAGCAGTGTTTCTCAAGCTTTGGTGGGCATAGGAATCCAACTGGGAATCTTGTTGAAATAGATATTCTGATTCAGCAGATCTGGAGTAGAGTTTGCGATTTTGAATATCTAAATGTCTCCGCTGATGCTGAGATAGACGGTCCCGACTTTCATAGCAAGCATATAGGGTAACTTTGAAAAACACATCTAAGAAGAAAAAGGAATCAAGGTAAATCAAAATATTAAGTGAATTAGCAGTACTGGTCTTAAATGGGTATTGCAAAATTTGTGATAGTAGTATAAGAATGAAGTCTGAAGTTGGGGAAAGCCTACAATGACTCATGGTCAAACTATACCTTTAGGTCTCTTAGAAAAACAAGACTTTCCGTCTGGGATTCAAGTCCCCGCGTGGGTTGAGGTGGAGAGTTTTCTTCTTCCACCCACAGCTCTAACCATGACTCAGAATCCAGTATCTCCTAGTTTTACTGCCTAGATCATGCATGAGTTGTCTCAGCGATATTCTTGCAAAAGTGTTGTCCAGCCTCCTCAAATGCCTTCAAGATGACTTTTTTCTCTTTTGGAGAATTTGGAAAATCGTTTGGGGTAGTTTCTGCAGGCCAAAGATACTTCTTGCTTTAAACTGAAATCTGGCTCTCTGTGATTTCGGCTCTTGCTAACAACGGAAAGAGTT